GTCGTTCATGGATTTCTCTCCTGGTCACGAGATGGGAAGAAGGTTTCCCACCTGCCGGCTGGGGCCTTTGCTGCGTCAGGGTGCAGGCAAGGTTTCACTGGGGTACCTACGGTGACACGTGGAACAAGATGCCCACGGGTCACTCAGAATGGAGCAGTGAGCCATGACTCAGAAGATCACGACCCTGGAAGCACCCGTTTCTGCTGGGCGACGACATCTAAGTGAGCACCCCTCTTTGTTTCACAGGAACGGTTACACTTGAGGACGCACTCAGACTGGCCACAGTTTGCAAAGACTGCAAATCTAGATGCCTGTCCCAGCGCCCAGGAGTGTCTGATGTGTCACTGTCCCCTGACCTGCTGCTAGCCCTGCAGGGAGCCGTGGTGGGTCAGGTGTGCCAAAGTGACCCCCAGTTCTCATCTTCACTTGGGGATTATGGAAGATCACCTACCTTAGTGCCTAAGGCACAGTACATCAGCACCAGAAGGTCCGCAGACTTGACCTGCAGATCAAGCGGCCCCGGCAGCGGCTTCTGGGCCTCCCATTCCAGGGCCATGACCTTTCCAGGTGCTGAGTGCTGGCCCAGGGGCTGTAAAGCCTCAGAGGATGCCCCAGCACTCACGCCTGTGGAGCGTGCGTTTCATCCCATTCTCAGGGAGGAGGAATAAGTCACTTCTGATCAGTAATGAAGAATCACCTTGCTCATGAGCCTTGCGGCCTACACTTCACTTAGAAGCATCCAGCTTGTTTGTGGATGCCAATACTGGACCCCAGCGAGTCCGCTCCGACTCACAGCCAGGCTCCCTCCTCCCGCAAAGAGTTTTTTTCAGTTCTCTCAGTACAGGGCCCTGAGTGGCACAACAGTTAAGTGGTCAGCCACTAACCAAAAGGGCAGGGGCACAAACCCACCCAGATGTGCAGCCAAAGAGAAGCCTCCCAACTGGCTTCTGCAATGTCAGCCCAGCAGAACCTGGCGCATCGTAGGCTCACTCTGACACACACAAGGTCACCCTCAATCATAATGGGGGGTGTTTTCTCACTCCTATAACTTCATGGTTAACTGGCAGATCACCTAATGGGCAACTTTTTCTCAATAGTCCAGGAGAATACCTCTAAGTAGCAGCCCCTTGCGATCCAGGCCTGGAGGTATGAGACACTAGTACAGACCAAACCTCACCCATGTCAGCGTATTTCAGAGGAAGCCTCCCACCACCCCACCACCACCAGGCATGCCCAGTGCAAGTCAGTGTGGTCCACACACATGCGTTAATGGGTCTGTGGGAGCTCCAGCCCCACCCCATGATTTCACTATGTGCCCTGGGGCTGTCACACCCCCACCCAAGAGCTCTCAGCTACCAATGAGCCCCGGCATGTGCCACAGCAGCCCCTCCCCGCCCCCGGCCCTGTTCAAAAGCAGCCAGGGCTCCATTTCCACCATCGGACTGGGAGCATCACAGTCCAGTCTCTGAGCACTGGGTGGACCAAGAGAATCACTGAACCGCAACTCACAAGGTAAGACGGTGGATTCAAATCCCACACCCACCCTCCCGGGCACTGGGACACTCCCTGGCTCAGCATCGAGCAATGGTCATTGAGGCCATCTGCCTGAAGGAGGACTGTGGGCTCAGCAGCAGGATGGGGATTTCTGCACAGAGGTACATTAAGATAAAAGCCAGGAAATGGGGGTGGGAGGGCGAATAAGAAACGCTGCCCTCCTCCCAGGGCATCACTAGAGCCAAGAAAGTTCAAACACAAGCAGGCAGAAAAGGGTGCTTGGCCAGCACTCAGGCACCCAAGGCAAAGCACAGAGAAACCCCCTCTAGTGGGCAGGCAGGTGGGTGGGCAGACTGGAGCTCCAGGATCACAGCAGAGTCAGCAAAGGAAAGGAGCCTCCTGCCGGTTCGTGGGGTGAAGAGAGGGCACACTGCTGGGCCAACTCAGCAGGGTCTGGGGGGGGGCCGCAACTGCCTCAGAAGGTCGCCGAGAAGCAGCCCGTTCTGCAAGCAGATTTCAAAGGGAAAGCTGCACTGGTGGACAAGAGGGTGGCCAGAGGCCAGCTGTACATCACCATCAAGAAAAAGGCCGGTCAGAGCAGTTACAGACGGAAGGGGAGCCAGCTGCTCACGAGGCAGGCCTGGGCAGGTGCGAGGACCCTCCAGCTCCTGGGGGGGGGTCCTCCCACAGCTGTGGCACCTCCCCTCGTTTCTCCCCTGCATTTCTGATGTTGGTTCCCTCTGCCTGGGATCTCACCAAGCTGGGCCGCCATGGGTGCTGAGCACAGAGCAGGCGCACTCAGAGATGAAGAACAGCCGTGTCAAGGGGGCGGCACAGGGACCCACCGCCTTGGAGGCCACAGAGCTTTGCCAGCAAAGGACAGAGGCCTCCTCACGGTGGCACATTCCAACGCAGGGCGACAGCCTCCTTCGGAGAAAGCAGTGGGGCCGGCGAGTGCATGCTCACAAAGACACGTCCACGGAGGCGTCCACGAATCGGGACACAGTTTCCTCAGAGGGTGGGGGCGGGCGTCATGGGGATGACATCGTCTTCTCCACTGCCCTCCCCCAATCTCACGCAAGTTCAAAAGTCACTGAGGCAGCTCTTTGCCCAGTCGACCCCATCGGCTCTGGGGAGGTGAGGGTCTGCGAATCACGGCGACCGGCCTCAGGACACAGTGTTCCGCTGCCACATGGGAATAAAGTGCAAAACGCAGGTCATGCAAAAGGCAGCGTGTTCTTTAAAACACTCACCTACACCTCCATGCAGGCTCCGTGCTGCACTGGCCGGCATGTTTATCGAAGCTCCGGGTTCCCCAGGAAGCCCTGGAGGGCAGCGGGTTACAGGTGGGACTGCCACCCACTGGGTCAGCAGTTTGAAACCACCAGCCACTCTGTGGGAGAACAAGGAGGCTTTCTGCTCCTGTCGAGTGACAGCCCCAACATTCACGGGACAGTTCTACCCTGCTCTGGAGGGCCACTATCAGTCAGCACGGGCTCGATGGCAGTGACTGTGGTGAGCTTGTTGTTGTTGTTGTTGTTTGTTTTCCCATCCTTGGCAATGCAGCTCCTTGGAGATGTAAACACTGTTTGCTGAAGAAATATGCTTCCTGGAGATAGGGCGGTGAGCATTTTGTTAGTCCAGAAGGTGAGATTTCACATGACGGATCTTGATTGGCAACAGTGTGACTTACACAAAATCCTTTAAGGAAAAAATGTCTCCCTTTCACCTCTTTCTGGAGTCCATCCCAGGAGCCCACACTGGCCTAGTGGGCTATGCACTGAGCCGCTAACCACAGGGCTGGTGGTTCAAACCCACCAGCTGCTCTGCAGGAGACCGACGAGGCCGCCTGCTCCTGCACAGACTCGACGCGATGCAGTGAGCGCTTCTGGGTTTTGAGTCTGGATTAGATGGAAGCCTTGCGGTCTGTGAGTGGCACTTCTAGAAAGAACAACTGGAGCTGCTCACGCCCCTGTCTCATCACGAACATAAGGCAGCACACGCCGTTTCATGGGAAACTCCAGAGGAGCTTGTCTTAGCTTCAGGCTACTATTTCTGGGGAAATAATGTTTGGGGAAAGCATGCATTAAAAACTGAATACAGATGTAATGGGGGGGGGGACCTCGTTTTTGTATGTGATCGGCTGTGTTCAATCACAAGTTTGGTTCTCCAAAAACTTGAACTGAGCTGAGCTAGCAGCTGGGCAGACATTTGTGCCACCAGGGACCCTCCCAGGTGTTAGGACGTCGAGGCGAGCCATGAGGAAGGACCATGAGGTGTCCCTCTGCCAGAACCGCCTCCAGTGGCTCGGTGCCCGCTCCGTCCATGTGTCCACAGTCCCAAGACTTCCACATCTGCACTTGGCGCTGCTCCTGGTCTCCGTTAGTTAACTCCACGATGCCTGCATTCACAGGAGGGCATGAGTCTGTGGCGCCAACTGCTAAGCCCAGAGGGTCAGTGGCTGCCCACACGAATCCGTCTCCATCCACCCAGGGTCGCAGACGTTTGCAGCTCAGCCTGTCCATGCTGGGAGCAAGGCGGACCTGTACAAATGACATCTATTTCCACCTAAGAGAACGATTCTCAACCTGTGGGTCAAACGACTCTTTCACAGAGGTCGCCCGATTCATAACAGTAGCAAAATTACAGTTATGAAGTAGCAACGAAAATAGTTTTGTGGTTGGTGGTCACCAGAGTATGAGGAACTGTATGAAAGGGTCATGGCATTAGGAAGGGTGAGAACCCCTGACCTAAGTAAGAGGTGGTGGCTCTGTCTAAAGAGCCACAAAATAAACTTCAGGTGAGTCTCACCTGCCATGCCTCCTCATCGTACTGCAGAATGCACACCTATTCATATTGCCTCCTCCCTGAACATGCACCAGCTAAGGCATCATCCCCACTAAATCAACTTGTTACCGAGTGCAGAACAAAAATGCTCCTGGCCACACGAATGGAACTGGTACTGATGCTGCAAAGAATTGAACTGAAGCTTCGAATCAGCTCTGCCGGATTCAGCCGTGGCTGACAGAGGGAGACCAAGGCAGCCAGTTTTCAATGTGGGTTCCAGGAACAGTAATCAGAACGGAGAAGAGTATGGGCCGACATCTGGCTAGAAATTAATTTCCTTCATAGGGAAAAAAATGAGGTGGGGAGCCTATTTGTGTGCTTCGTGGCAACCAAGTTTTTTCAGCAGCAGAGTCCAGCACAACAGTGCCCGCTCCAAGCTGGCAGCAGGCGCTCGCTGCTTTGAACACATGTCGCTCTCCACTGTCCTAGACAATGACCCAGGCTCCCAAACCAGGTCCCTCAAAGGATCTCTTCCCAGTCTCCCCACCAGGGCTCCAACCTGTAATTGTTCCTGTGTGGTGATTTCTCGAGGAGCCCAGATGTTGCAAATGCCAGTCCCTGTGGGTTGAATTTATCCAGCCATGGCTGAAGTAGTTCCAATGGGCTCGAAGGCCTGAATTGAAGCTGCACAGAGAATTCTAGGAAATTCCCTCTTCCTACAAGGTAAAACGCTAAGTAGCATTTTATTTATTTGTCTCCACAGAACAGTTTTGAAAAGAAATTTGGAGAAGTCAATTTCCCTTACAAATAACCTTCAATAGACTCCCCTCCACTACCCACTGCCATCGGGTCAATTCCAGCTCACAGCAAGAGACGCTGCAGGAATTCCTTAAGTGGGATTTTTAACACGAGTGGAATTACGGGAAAATAACAGGAATCACTGTTAGAATACGAAGTTGTAGCCTTGCTTAATACCTCATTGTACTTTTGGTATGCACACAGTTCACATAAATGGGCATTCCCTGTCAGGGACACATGCGCTGTGCTTTCACACGTGGGTGCAGTTGGTGGATGGCGGGGTGTCCAGGCGGCTCTTGGTCTCTTTCGTGTCGTGGAGAGGGGACGGTGAGGTGCGTGGGGGGCACTTGAACACTTGCTTGTAGGCCTTTCTGAAGTTCTCCGAGAGGAAGGCATAGATGATGGGGTTCACGGAGGAGTTGCTGTAGACCAGGCAGTGCGCCATGATTCTGAAGAGGAAGGAGGCAGGGGTCAGGGGAAAGTCTCCAAACTCAACCCAGAGGTGGATGACGTGGTGCGGCAGCCAGGAGATCCCAAAGACCACGACCACCACCAGCACTGTCTGTGTGGTCTGGTGGGAGGCAAGGGAGAGAAGAGGGAGGCGAGAGTCAGACAGAGAGAACCAGCGCATCTACACGCACCCGACCAGGATTTCATATTCTCACACATCTGCTTCCAGGGCTGCTCTTACTCCGCATCTGATTTCTGCCCAAAATCTCCTGGAAACCCGCCACTAGCATCCCTAGTATCAATCCTGTGATGCATGTAGTCACAGAGGTGCATGTGAAACACGTGAGGATCACAGACATGTATGTTAAACATATGCAGACCACAGGCCTGCATGTAAAACACATGTGAATCACAGGGCATTGTGTGTAAAATGCACGTGAAACACGTCGGTCACAGAAGGGCATGTGAAGTACGTGTGAGAGGCATTTATACCACACATGTACATATGATCACAGGAGTGCATGTAGCTCACAGGAGTGCTTATGATGTGCATGTAAAGACAAGTAAATCACAGAGGTGCGTGTTGAACACATGTGAAAGGCATGCAGATCACATTTTGAACTGTGTGATCAGCTTCTCTGAGAGACAGAGATGAGGCTTTGTACTCAGGATTTACAGTCTCAAAAAACCCACAGGGGCAGTGCTACCCGTCCAGTAGGGTCACTGTGAGTCATAATTAACGCGATGGTCATGGGTTTGCCTTGCTTGGGGTGGTGGGAGGTAGAGGGACCTTTACACAGTGCGTTCGACTCTGTGGAGATGAACCAGCAGCGAGATACCGAGACGCCTCCATTCTCGTCTCAAGGACCAGGAGAGGTGCAGCAGACAGGGCGTAGACGTGTCCCCTGGGAGCTTTGTGGCGATGCCTTGGGCTCCCACTCCACCAGCCAGCCCCAGGGAGAAAGATGAGGCTGTCTTCATCCCCAGAGATGACAGTCTCAGAAAACCTGGGGAGCAGTGCCACTCCGCCGTGTGGGGGCCCAGTGAGTCCGTCCCCCTCGGTGGCAGTGAGCTTGCTAGAAGGGTGGTGTGAGCACATCCAAATTGCTCCCAGCGATTCCCCTTCTGCACAGGGAGGCAGAGGAGAAGGGAGAACGGGACTGCAGCCACCTGGGGTGTGCCAGCCAGTAAATCCGGGGGCATTCCTTCCCAGTGGCCCTGAGCACAAGTGCTCCCCAGGGTTTCCCAGGCCAACAGCTGATGGGAACAGATTGCCGCTCTTCTCCCACAGAGCGGCCTCCAGGTGCAGACCACTAGCCTCCCAGAGAGCACTTGGGCATTGCGCCTGCAGACACTGGTCCGATTTCCCTGGGACCTTGCTCCGAAGGAGAAGGAGGCACAAGAGGTGAGTTGAGTGATTCTGGCGGTGGCCCTCCTGACTCTGTGGGCTGTGGGGACCACCCACCACAGATGGCCAGCTGTGTGGCTGGAAGCAGCTGTCCAGAGTTCTTCAGGCAGGACCCCCCCTGGTGAGCTGGAATCCTGCTGACAGTGAGCAGTGCCCCGGCTCATACAGGGCAGGAAGGTCAGAGGTCAGTGTCCGGGAGCAGGGTGGGGTGGCTGGCATGGGAGAGGAGAGGGACCCCTCAGGTCAGAGGACACAGAGTGACAGAACAGGGACAGGGACTCCATGTCCGCAGCGGGCACCTCACTGAGCATTTGTGCAGGACTGGATGCGCCCTGAAGTGTCCCCCATCTCGTACCTGGTCTGCTGATGCACTAAAAAGGGTTCAGGTATAGAAACCTGGCAACAGGTATCTATGTGGAGATCAACTTCCAGGCCCCAGCCACTTAGCGCAGGGCATAGCAGGCCAGCACATCATTTGCTCACGCGTATTAGGGGAGCGTCTGCCATCAATCCGTTTACTCTATTAGCTTAGCAGAGATTCCCCTCCGTGATGATTTAATCAAGACGATCTAGATATAATTATCAGAGCAAATGGAACAGAAAACACAACCTTCTTCCCTAAGACAATGGCAACATCTCCCTACTGGTACCCAATAAAATACCTTCTGGGGGTTCGGTGACAGGACCTCTCTGGGGACATCCTCGGTGACTCCAGAGCTCTGTGCAGACTCAGAGCCAGAAGCTCACTGCTGATACTCCTGTCACCCCGAGGCTCAGTGGGCAGAGAGCAGGGTCCTGTCTTAGCTGTCCCCACCACCCTGCCCGGTGCTATTCAGCACGGCCCCTCCCCCAGCCCTTCTTGCTAGTATCACAAACCCATGGGCTGGAGGCAGTTTCCAAAAGTTGACCCTGCCTGTCAGGTAGCAGCCTGCCCTGAATGCAAGGTGCCATGCCACCAGGATGCTCAGGTGAGCCATGGAAGGAGGTCCATGTGTTTGTACAACAGACCCTTGGTGGGCTATGAGGTGAGGCTTTCTGCCCCTGGACAGAGTCCTTGTCCTGGAAACATACAGGGCCAGTTGTCCTCAGTCCTACAGGGCCGCCATGGGTCAGAATCAACTGGACTGGGAGTAAGGCTTATACAGATGCCAATACAGAAACAAATATGAATCCAGGAACCAAAGCAACAGCTGAACTGAGCACCAACTTCCAGGCCTTCGACTGGAGAGCCAGACAGAAACGCCGACTCCTTTCTCACGAGGCTCTTCACTGCTCCTTGCTGAGACTTTGAGGGTCTCTCTCGGGCACTTTCTCAGCCACAGAGATGGAGACCAGAGCCAAGCACACACCAGGGAGACAGCAGATGTTCAAGACTGCATTGTGTTGGCTTCCTGGACACAGAGCCTTTTCCATCCATAGTAAGCCTGTTCCTGGTCCTAAGCACGTCCCTCACCTGAGCATCCTCTTGATATACATAACACTGGCCCCTGCCCCGCTCCCCATGCCCCGCTCCCCAAGCCCCTCTCCATTGGGAACTCCAGGAAGCCCCAGTCAATGTGGGCACAGCCTGCAGCTAGCTGCAAGGTTCTCTCCTGCATGGATCCAACTGCACTGTGGAATCCCATGGTCCAGCTCGGGCCTGGCCAGCAGGCCTTCTATAAATAACCATGCAATCCTTGTGATCTGGAAGGAATTGTCTAAGGGGCAGCTGTAAGCAATTCTTAATGGTCCTTGGATGAGTCATCTTCTTGTGGACCAGGCACGTGCCTCAGAGGGATATGCCCCCTCCCCTCCGTGAGATCCATCACCGGTCAGCTGTGAGCAAGAGGGGCCCAGAGGCACCAAGCTGAGCCCATAGACTGGTGCTTTCAGTATCAGAAAAGGCTGAGGAGGAATCTAGTCATGGTACTGTTAGGGTTCAAAGAGTCGGTTCGGGTCCACAGCGACTCTACGCACAAGAGAATGAAACACTGCCCAACCCTACACCAGCCTCATCGCTGCTCCTAAGTTGAACCCACGATGGCAGCCGCTGTCAGCCTGTCTCTGTGAGAGGCGTCCCCTCTCTCACTGCCCCGTCCACTTTCCCAAGCACGACGTCCTCCTCCAGCCAGTGGTCTCTCCTGGATGCATGTCCAAAGTATGTGAGCCCCAGCCTTGCCATCCTTGTCTCTATGGACTACCCGGGCTGTACTGCTTCCAAGAAAGGGTTAAGTAAGCCTCTGTCCATTGACGTGGCACCTTCAGTTTCTTTGCCAGCACCATCGTCTCCACCAGCGCCTGTCTGCCAGTGTGCCGCATGGACTGTGGTGGCTGGGGTTGCTGTGGCGGCGGAGGCTCTGTGACTGGCTTGTTAACTGGAAGCAGGGTCACCCCACAGTGAAGGCTTCAATGGAGCTTCCAGACTAAGAGCAGACAATGAAGAAGGAATGGGCTGTCTACCTCGGAGGAAGTAGCCAAGGAGACCTTGCACATAGTGGCACATGAGGTCATTATCCTAAAATAGGTCCTTTTGTTTCTTGAGTACAAGTTGATTTGTGCTGCCCGGGTTGGGAAGGAGTCTGAATATTTGTGCACCTTAACTAGCTGTCTGTTAGGACCTCTCCTTGACTCTAGGGACAGACACGCTTCTAGCTAGGTTGTTCTGTACAAACCGGGGCCAGGAACCCCGCAACAGGTTCCGTTCTGGTCCACCGCCTGCTGAGAACGAGCTTCCAGCCTGGGAGAAGCCATCAGAACCTACGTTTCACCAGGCCTTCCTCTCTGACAGCCCCGCGGGCGTGTCCTACTGCAGGGTCTGACTGGTCACAGCTGGGGCAGAATTCCCGGCAGGAGGCTGAACTGTCCTCAGCCCCAGTACCAACCCGGGAAGTCAAGGGAAAGGGTCATTTTTTTAAGTAGAATTCTCAACAGTAAATATGATTATCTGGGTTATAATTTCTGCAAAATCATGTATGCTGTAGATCATAATAAGTATTTGGAAGGAAAAACAAGGTCTTTTCAGATTTTATTAGTACCACCGGTGGGTAAAAATGTCTGGTTATAACGTCCTCCACCCTGATCATTTTGTCTAGTCATTGCATCCTCCTTTATGGAACCAGGAATCACATCAGTAGTGTCCGCATTACAAGTCCCTGACTTGTAACATCCCCCGACATGTGCAAGGGGGCAAACATTCATGAGCCAGACGCTTGGACACTGACTCAGAAGAGGTCGTTGAAGTAAGAATTCATGTCTTTCCAGAAAGGGCGATGAGGAAGGGATAGTTCCCTCTTACCCTGACACTGTCCCCAGGCTCTGGTTCCACCCCTTTGAGTCAAGCCCAGCTCTGACTCAGAGAAACCACATAGGGTCTCTGAGGCTGCAAATCACATTGTTGCCAGAGCAGTCAGCCTCACCTTCCTTCCTTGAACTGACTGGTGGCTTTTAACCACTGACCTGGCAGTTAGCAGCCCAATGCTCAACCACAGCTCTTTCCTTCTGGCCAAGATACACACCAAATATAAACATAAATATAAAAGGGCATTGGGTCTTCTCTTAAAGCGTTTTTGTCAGTGTTGGGGTTGTCAGTGTTGTTGGTATTGGTGGAAGTGGTGGGAATGGGCTGATGGTGGTGGTGGTATTGTCGGTGGTAGTGGTGGTTATGGTAGTGATGGTGGTAGTGGTGGTAGTGGTGGTGGT